ACAATGAATTAAGATTACGAGTATATTATCCATATAAACTTGCACCCCTTTTTTAGGGTAGTTTTGAAAAATTAGTAACAACATTGTTATTAGTTTTAATCATCATCATCATCGTCAACAGCCTTTATTAAAGCCTTTACCTAAGGAGAGGCCTATGTCCAGCAGTGGACTAGTATAGGCTGTTGATGTGATGTGTGATGTGAATATCGACTCAGTAAACTATTACGTTTATTTTGTGTAGAAAAAAACCACAGACTTTATATTATTTTTTCTTTGCATTGTAGCTTATACTATACTTTAAATTGAACCCAAATGATGACTAACACTTAACAACAGCAGCAATTTAAAATAAATCATACGCTTCAAACAATAAAGTTCAATTATTCTTAAAATGGACAATGAACGGACAGAGACAAAGAGGATTCATGGATTAAAAGACAAATGTAACAATACTTTTTAATGGTTTATGGTCGTGTGTATCAAGTATAAGTCGTCGATAAATCAAAAAAAGTCGCTGTCGCTGTGACCCAGTCGACTTAGGACATCCTAGAATTGTATGATGACGTAATCAACGTCATAGGAAACCTTTTCTTGTATTTTTTTTTGTTAATGAGGTGGATCCTTTCGGATCAGCTCTATCGCCATCGGGACTATGCAGAAGCCAGGAGTACATACTCCTGGCTCCTTGTCACACCACGGCCGTGTGATTTCAAGGTTCGCTCCGAGATTGAGCTATAAACGAAATGAGAGTTCATTTCTTTTATTAATATGTTATATCTTTCCTCTCGGTTCCCTAAATCTATGGAAGTGATTACGTCAAATGGGACGGAAATGTGTAACAGGAAGCCGAAGAAGCTATTTGATTGGACCAATGAACGAAAGCGCGTTTTAGCGTTATTTTTTTTCTGTTTGACAATTGCGTGATAATATAACTACTCACTGCGCTACTATTGAGAATTAAAGAACAATTTTCTCCTATAATATGGATAACGAAACACAAACAAATTGTATAAATTATCTTTAGTCATTTAATACCACAAATGGATTGTAATCTTAAAAAAAACTATTATTATAAGAAAGTGTGTCAAGGTTATATTGATAGAATTAGCAATTTATACGTGTTAGTATTCTATTTACATACGTATAGAAATTTACTTAGAAATAAAACGACGACTTCGATTCAATTTGTCTGTCTACAAAACTTCAATATGAATAAATTACCATCACATTATTGCTCTATAAAAACCATGAAAACTAGATTACCTACTTCCTGTTCTTTTGTCTATCTGTATTTAAAATTATTTGGTACCTCTCAAAATTAATAAAATTGGTCTTATTTTATGGTCCAAATTCTAAATAACAGTGGCGGATTTACCAGCAGGCTGTAGGCTCGAGCCTAGTGAGGCAAATTATTTTATGTGATAATGCAAAAGCCAAAACTACGGTAAATTCTAATATTTCCTGGTAAAACCAAAGATTTACAACAAGTTATGGTAAAAGTCTGAAATCGAGGATTTACCACCATTCACTTGGTAAGTCTAAAGATTTATTTCAATACACGGTACCTAAATGTCGATAAACAGACATGTTTCACCAACAACAGAAGGGATCTGGCGCTCGGTGGCCGCTGCTAGGTCGAATCGGGTCCGGGTAGAGATCATCCTTCCGGGCCCTCTCAGCCGCCTCCTTCTGCGAGATAGCGTCTTTGCAGAAGGATGCGACCACGGTAAAACAACTGTCACTACTGGCCATGGAGCGTATGACGGCTGGTAGCGAGAGATCCTCTCAAAAGATTGCAATGAGGACCTGACGCTGTGACATCCAAGCCGGGCAAATTACCAGCGTGTGCTGAGACGAGTGCTTACTGCAATCGGAGTGGTGACAGGCGGAACTCAATTCCTCCTAGCCACCGAGTGCAGGTACTTCCCTGAGCAGCCGTGCTCGGAAAGGACCTGCGTCAGTCGGAAGGAAATTGTCCCGTGCGTGCCAGGACCGGTACGTAACGATTGAGGCACCAGAGAGAGAACCACGTCGGAGCCCATGAAATAAGACGGTTTCCGTCTTATCCAGAGCCACCCGTAAGCCCAGTGCCTCAGTGCGCCCGACCACCAGAGAAGCTAACCTAGTCGCTCCACCTCTTGAAAGTTCTTCTTCAAATTACACCCAGCCCGGGGGTAAAAACAGCTCGAAGGGCCCAGTCGTACCTAAATAGTTTGCCACAAGCCGCCTCAGGTACACCGGCACCTCGTGATAGCGGAGTGCTTCCCTGATGCAGCTGAATAATAAATAATAATAATATTCTACCACATTGACACTGCGCTGAGTGTGTTGTGTGTTCAATCCCTACATGGGACAACACATTGTTGTTCTTAGTCTGGGTATTCTTTGTGTCCGTTTCTATATGTAAGTAAAGTGAGAAAAAAAATCGCCCGACCACCAGAGAGATAACTCTGGTGGCCCGTCGCACCGCCTCTTGGAAGTTCGCTCTCGGGCTGTACCCAAAGTTTCATCGGCGTAACAAATTACGCCCAGCCCATGGGGTAAGTTTTTTCTAAGGCCGTCCCTATATGCAACAGAAGGATTCCAAGAACAGAAAGACCTTTGTGAAAAACTTCACGACCTGGGAACTGTCTCAGATATCTTAGTACTTGTACGTGCAGGTACGCCCCGACGCAAATCCCGGTGAAGTGACGGCGCGAGGTGATTTCTACACGGGGCGGCAATAATTTAATAGCTTACTGGCAGCAAATATGTAAATCCGCCACTGCTAAATAATATTATAAACTAAAACATTTAATTAGTAACAGGTCATCGAACATAGCATAATACTAAAATTATACATAAATAAAGAATAAAGACATAACATACATGCATACACTAACGTCCCCCTTGCCCCCTGAAGCTGTAGACACAATGATGTTTTTAGGAAGATATGTTATATTCATACTGCTCACACAAGCTATTTGTTCCGTAACCGTAAATACATCTATTAATGCATTTTAAAACAAAACAAACACTTACTCGTGGTATATTTCTTTATCTTTTTGTAATTTATGCACTTTCGGAATACACAGGAAGGCATTTTATGAATTTTCTCGATTTAATTAGTACGTGCGCTCACTCGCAGTGGTCCTAATTAGGACCCACGCGTTTTGGGCGTTGGTGGCGTATCTACCTCTTGTTTGTATATTATATCATTAGGGAGACAAGACAGAGGCATATTTAATGCCCATATTTTGCATACCATAATTTTAATCCCACTAACATAACTGTCGAAGTCTATTGCTGTCAACCGGACACAAAGATTTCTAAGTAAACATACTTATAATACGTACATATTATGTATAAATTACACACGTAATATACCTTTGGACGGAACTACTGACAACTGTCATCATCACATGAACATGCTTTAATAGTCCACTGCTGGAAATAGGCCTCTTCTTAGAAAGGAGGTTTTAGCCTACTTTACCACGCTTGCAGTGCTGTTGTCCTGCGTAGTTTGCTCCCTTAGTCTGCTCTTACGACACCCACGGGATGAATAGGGATGGTGGCACTCCGTATTCTTAATCCGACACCAGACTGTCATACTGGTTATCAATATCTTTTGGTGTCAATAGATTAATGTGTTTTTGTTGTCTAAAGTCATCAGCACTCATTATGATAATGGTGCTATATGTAAAATAAAAACTTTATGTAAAACTTTTTGTGTTGTGTAGATTAAATTATCGTTGAGTTTATGTTTTTGTGTATTTTATTTAGGATATTTAGTATGGTTTAGTATATGTACTTTTAGCTTATATTTTTATGACTAAATGAGTATTATATTAACAAACAGGATAGGGTGTAATCCATATTTTTGCTTGAATAAGATCTTATTACTCACTGTTAATAAAAAAAATGTTAATCACAAAAATATCTATATGCTTGAGATTCATGAATTGTACAAGTTTAATTATAAGTATTGTGTTCTGTTTTAGTACATAGTTTAGCATATATATATTATACATATATTATGTATATCTTAAATTTCAAGTAAACAGATAAATAAGCAACAACAAAGCTAAATGCGTAGGAACCATTACGTCAATACAAAAGCATTCAAGGCTTTTGTTGATAAGCTTATAATGTAACAAAGACAAAATTAGAATTTAAAAATAATTAAATTAAACGTATAATATCATCAACACTTATAATTTAACAATAATAACAAAAACAATCTATTGTTTAGTATGTTTTGTTAAATAGTACTTAAATTGCGTCAGTACTAATATATTAACTAAATATAGTGTATAGACAATATAGAATTTAGAAAAAAAAGAACTATATTTATACTTTTTATTTGAACAAACTAAAGTTTACTCTATCATCAGGCTTAAAAATCATGATAGAGTGACATCTTATCTAAAGCAATGTTAATACAGTAATTGTGCATAAAGTGGAAGCATTTTATTTTTTTGCTGAGTTCCCATGTACTTTTATAGAATAAAATATTTTCTATCACTATGTGATTCTGTGCATGGGATTTCCTTTGTCTATTTTTTTTTTTTTTTTATATATTTTAATTGGAGTTTTCGTTTCATCCTTTGCATGGAAACTGTGTTATAATTCGTCTATTTTATTAATGGGACACAATATTAAAAAATAACATTAATAAAATTATGCTTTTTACCCAATCATATATTTTTATAGTAAAATAAAAATCTCCCAGAACATTTTAAAACGTGTTTTTAAATTTACCAAAGTTTGAAATTTAAATAATTTACTTAAAGATGTTACATAATATTTTACAAATAAAATTTAATAAAATTATAATCAACATAATATTATTTTACGACCAAAAGTTTTTGAAAAGGGAAAGGCGAAAGCACTTCCGATTTATTACCTAATAAGATTCTTGTAAGTCTTTCATCGAGCTAAGTAGTTACCAGACGTTATTGCTTGTTGTTGTAAAATCAGTCTATAAACACTTACTTATTAAATATTATTTAATTACTTACCGATACAATGGTAGCGAATTATTTTAAACACTAAGTAACAAAAAGTGGACTTCAACAAAATCCTTTATAAAGGATTAAGCGAATATTATGTTTCTAAATTTGTTCACAAACACGACACACGCGCACAATTAAAATGCGTATATTTATTATTTTACAATAATAAACAATGCAACCGACCACACAATGGCATTCACTGACAAATTATGACACTAGAATACTAAACCAACCCAGCGATTGGCAAACTACGCAAGCGCTGCTTTCGACGAATCAGGAAATGATACAGAAATATTGCGCCAAGTTGCGCCAATGAAACTGATAGTTTATTGTGTAAAATATGTTGTAAGCTTAAAAAATACGGTAGGTACTTTAATTAAAATGTATGGTACAGACATAATAGCTTATTTCTAACTTTTCATCGAGATTTTATGTTACTTGATTCTCCTTAAATACTCTTGAAAAATAAATGAAATGACAAGGCAATACACTTGTATTCTTTTAAGTATTTATTTTGTCAAGGGGTTCGGTTACTATAATTCCAGTAATCATAAATACTGTAATGAAAATAGTTTGTCCTGTAAAAGTTCCATTGAATATAAACATTTTAAATAAGTTTAATGTATGTCATGAACAGAGGAACTTGCTTACTTAGGAACGTATTCAATTTATATAGCCGATCGAAGTGATTTCGGTGGTCTCGATACAAATTTATCCAGATAATTAAGTTGTCTCAAAATATTTTTTAATGTAGTAGTTCTGAGCTATAATGTTATACTTAATTAGTATGCTGAGAATATGTTTATGTTTTGCATATTTATGATAAAATATTAAAATATAGAAGCGTTCAAATAGCCCGCATTTGATTCTCACGCCCAGTTTGACGTCACAGGGTTCTCGTATGAACCGCACCCAAATTCGTGTAACGCTAAAGGTCGTAAGTGTGCCATAGCCTTTCCTGCCATGAATATAGAGTTTATTTTTTATTGTCTACTTGATGTTTTATTATTAGGACCAGCAGATGGCGCTAGAAGACTAAACTTCACTAGCGCAGAGTACACCAATCACGTTCTAGGAACTTTGACGCAATTTGCAAATGGCCGTGAATTGTAAAAAGGATCGAGCTTGAAGGTATAAGAAAAGCTGATGGTGGATTGTTCCGTGATAAAAACTAGTGATTTATTCTAAATTCAGTGTGGTGCTGTTGATACGATACAAAATGTGCCAAAAAGTGAGAATCCAGTCTTAATGGTGATATAGGAAGCGCCCAAAAACCGCTGGAGCGACGATCGAAGGGACATTGCTGACAGAAGGGTAAATTCCTACTATCATTTTTACCGAATCACTCTTTTTTATTGTTGCTTATGTCTTCTTTTCGCTCTGCACAGTCATACATTTTATTTGGTCGTCATTTTAGCCATAAACGATTATTTGAAACCGTGATTTCTTTTGGGTGTATTCACTAGCTTCGCCGGTGAAAACCATTGCGTGTAACGCGCATAAATGATAATATGTAAGTATTAGTGGGTTAATACTTCACGTATACCACCTGCGAAGCACTAGAAAGCAATTTTAAACCAGCGGGTGATAGGATATTGAACATTTATCGGTTAAAGTATGGGTGTGCACATAGGTATAGGTATATATATGAGCCAATGTAGCCACAGCCCTGTTGCTAGACGATACGACATCGATTCATGGCTTCCAGCCGTTTCTTTACCTTTTATTACTAGCAATGTGCAATTATGTCTCAATTTTAGGTGTAATCCATGCGTATTTTGGTAAAAACTCTTAATTTTTAATATTAATATTTTGAGATAAGATGGACAGTTCACACGGCTCTAAACTTTAATGTGAATGACAACTTGGTGTTCGTCATTATATGATTTCAGATTATTGTATAGTTTTGTCTCCTGAAAATGTACATTATATAAATTAAATAAAAATATTAATACATTAGATGACAATGCAGATTATTTTAAAAACTTGTCCATACATTTAACAAAAGGAAATACTGTTAAGGACTACAGAAGGAAAAATTATGTAGTGACAATGATTGCATATCCACTAAATTAGTAGTCACCAAGTACTTAGGTGAGGAGTCAATTATAGGTGTGGTACTCTGAAATGAAAATCTAACAAGTGACCTTAATTATAAATGGGTAGGTATTATCTGTACTATTAACATTATTATTAAACATATTTACCTAACTCATTATAATAAACCTTATTATCAATATCAGTATGTGAGATGTGTGAGGTTATTATTATTATTAATATATATATTTGGATGTAATCTGCAAGCTATTGGGAATGTATGATGATTTTACTGTTTATTACAGTTAAAACTTGATAGTATTTTTTAAATATTTTGTGTGTTTTTTTTAACTAGGTTTAAAACCACATAGCTCACCTTAATGAGACAAGTGTTTGTTAGTACCTTGCATCCCTTGGGTGTAACCATAAAAGGTGAAAATATTAGTATCCCTATGAGTCAGCAAAAATAATCTCCTCTGGCCATATTGGAAACCAGTTTCCAAAATGGAATTATTTCTCTTTTATAGAAACCTTCTTTATAGTAATAATATTTCAGACATCTGACAACACCATCTAGTTTCAAACTAAGCAGAGCTTGAACTACGAAAGCTAGATTGAATGTTAGAATACTCATATACTTTTTTTTTGTAAATACACACATATTATACATAGCAAACACCCAAACTTCAAAATAAATATTTGCAGATCATACAAACATTAGGTCTGACCTGGGAATCGAACCCGAGATCTCAGAACAGCAGTTGCATATACTACCACTGGACCACTGAGGCCTTTTTTCAGTAAAGAAAACAAATTCTTTTTTTTAAACTGGTTATCAACACAGAATGTTGGATCTTCTTTTGAAACCCTTACAATATATCTACAAACTCCTTGATTAAAAAGAAGCCACATCACCTCTTTGTAGAAATGGATTCTATTACTTTACCTACTCATTTTAACACAATTTCAGATAAAACCACTGCTCTAATTAAATCTAATATTAAAAGAACTCATACAATTTTAAATTCAATTAATTTAGGATTAAATAATCAACACTTATCATTTTAGTATAACTTTTAGCTTTTTCCCCTGGCTCCACCCACATGTTTGTCGGGTATCACTGTAAAAAGTAGCAAATGTCCTTTTCTGCAATTCTAACCATCTCCATAAATCTAAATCGTTTCAGCCGTTTAAGCATAAAGAGGTTACAGACAGACATGCACACTTTTGCATTTATGATATTATTATGGATTAATCAAAAAGAAACTGTTTTCATAGTCATTAACATACATTATGATTATGAAAAGTAACTAGTACAAAGTTGTAGAATAGTATTCCAAAACACTTATCAATTTCAGATGCGTCTGTTCATTATAGATACAGCACTGCACGGATGGCGTAGTGGTTTAAGCGGTCACCACGCCGCTTGCTACTACGCTGAGTGTTGTGGGTTCGATCCCCACATGAGACGACACTTTGTCCGTTTCATGTATGTTTGTAAAGTCCTCCACGACACAGGATGAATATTCCTAGAAGTTATCATTTTAAATAATAATAATAAGTATTAGTTCATCTATAAACATCTACAAATAAGTCTGCAAACTTTTATTACCTTACATTTTCAACAGCAGTAACAACCCATTTCTTGAAAGTTTGGAGCTGTCTACACCCCCACACAGCATCATACTTTATAAACACTGTTACAGTAATGTGCTTTTAGGCACTAAAAAGTCCATCTTACCACCAGCTTGACATGACAGCTGCCTTCTTTACCTATGCAGTTGTGAGGTAAAGAATAGAAGTGAACTGTAGAAATTCACAAATCTGTTCTTAGATTGTATGTTTATCTACTTTTGTACTGCTGTGTATTCTTGTACCGTGTTGTATTCATTGACTATGTCCATTACACACAAAATATGAGTGGTCATAAAAATGTAACCATTTTATTCTCGGAAGTTATGTATTGGGTAAGTATTCTCAGATATTATATATTGTATGATTTGTATATTTTAAAAGGTATTCCAAAAATATATATTACTATATACTTTTTAAGTGAATAACACTGTTATTGATGGTGTAACTAAACTAAGGTCATTAAAGGTCAGTTTTAGATAATTTATGTAGTTAATTTAATAGCAATAATAATATTGGTCACCTTGCAGTAATAAGCTTAAATTTGGCTTTCTTTTAATACAGTACATGTACCCTAGGATTGGTGTTTATTCTGATTTATTTCACCATTTATACAGCTTTTTTACAGTTTTTTTAATATGTTAAAACCCTAATTTCAATACAATACAGTATTATTTAGATTATTGTTTACTCTAAAATACACTTTACATTTAGAACAACAAAAATGTTGATCAGGGGTACTAAACCGACGTAAAGAAACTGATTGAGTTTTGTTATGGCAAAACACTGTAAGTCCAGTTACAGTCTTTTGGATTGGCACGGCAGAGCTATAATTAATAAAATTTTGTTAAATGTAAAATAATATGCAAAATATATACTTCTTAAACAGTAATATCATATCATACTCTGAAATTACATGAAGATTGTGTATATTGTATGTAGAAAAACATTATGCTGACTATTAATTTGTTTATAAAATAATATAGTTTATGTCAATCTTATTTAAGGCTGGATGGAGTGGTTTAAATGGTCACCTCGCCAGTTCCTACCGTGCTAAGTGTTGTGGTTACGATCCGCACATGGAACAACACTTTCTGTGATCCACAAACGATTGCTCTAAGCCTGGGTGTTCTTTGTGTCCGTTTTATTAATGGTTGTAAAATCCTCCGCAAAACAGGATTTATTCCTAGAGTTGTCATTTTGAAAAAAAGAAAAAGCCTAGCCTAAAAATAACTTATTAAAAAAGATTGTTAAGTCATACATGTGATGCTAGAATGAGGATAGGTTGAGACTGATGATGTGCTTGTCCTGAATTGTTACTATACACCACTAGATTATGTTATCTACCAGCTAGGGAATATAAGCTGTTTATGTAGTTGAATTTAGTCAATTACTTAAACGTGGTGTATTGGTAATTATACAAATACTAATACACGAATTTACTTTCTGACAGCTTGACATTGGAGAAGTGTATATCATTTCATCACACACTAGGTTTTGCCCGGTGCTCTGACGGCGAGTATGTCGGTTGTCTATGTCTATGTCCTAACTATGTCCATTCCAGATTTCACCTAAATCTGTCCAGCGGTTTAAGCATGAAGAGGTAATAAACTGACAGACAGACACACTGTTGCATTAGTATAAGTATCCCATGAGTTATAAGAACTGTTAAGGTCTGAAAATATACCTCTTCAGAAAGGAGGTTTTGGCCTCTTATACCATGTTAGCCAAACAGGTTGGTTGGTGGTGGTGGTTGGTTTATTTCAAGTTTTCCTAATATTTGCAGTGCTGCTGTCTTGCGTAGTTTGCTCCTGTAGTCGGCTCCTGTAGTCGGCTCTTACGATACCCACGGGATAAATAGGGGCGGTGACTCTCCATATTCTTAATCCATCACCACACTGTGTGATCCCCTGCATATTTTAACCAAACTGATGGTTGGCTCGTAGATACCTGACACATTGCAAATGTTATTATTTTCCTTTGCATGCTGTTTTGGTCATGCATTAATAATAACAACGGGGAATGCCCGTATTCATTTCGTACGGAAAACTATCTCCAATTACTCACGTTCAGAAATGAAGAATAACTTTATTTATTGGTATTCAATTCAATGTATTGATAATGTAAATTCAACAGAATAAAGGTCACGTGACCAACGACTTGAAGCATTTTCTGTTTCTTTTACTCATACATATAGTTTTAGCATTATAGTACCCACATGGGACGACACTTTGTGTGATCTACAAATTTTTGTTCTGAGTCTGGATGTTCTTTGTGTCCGTTTCATGTATGTTTG